GGATAACGTCATAAGGGCAGTGGTCAATCACGGCTGAAACGGAAAAAGTAGTGTGGTCCTTTACACTTAAGCGGGCAGTGCACACACCGAGAACCATCGGCGTGCCGCCATCGGTCACACGGAGCATTTGTGCAGCCTCTGGTGTCAGTTAAACGTGTGTGTAGGCTTGAACTCATGACCAAAATACTTGCGCCGGTGTCTACAAGTGCTTGTACAGGTACGCTGCCTACTTAAATGTCTATTACATTTCGTCTGGTGGCAACCGGGAGAGGATTGGCTGCAGATGTCGCCAATGCAGCACCACCTCCGGGGGCTGCATTTTTCAGTTTTCCAGGACGATGCGGTCGGAAGCCACAGAGGACGAGAAGCGCCGTGGCTGCGGCGAATGGGACGTTGGGCGACGTATTTGCGGCGTACGAGAATGGCGCCCACGTGGTGAAGGCGAGTAGCTGTACCAAGTGTTCCGATAATGGTCAACGGCATTGGACTTTTGGGCAGGTGAAAACGTGTGGGCGGTACCGTCGAAACGGGTCATATTGGGCGTTGCACGACGGGCCGAGGACCATGTGTTTCGGCAGTAACGAGCAATATGTCTGACGCGGTGGCAGTTGAAACATATAGGGCGGTCATCTGCAGTTCACCACTCAGCAGGGTTGCGAGTACGTGGAGAAAACCGTCGAGCGGCGGAGGGGATCGTGATAGGGCGTTCGCTGACTCTGGGCACGGTGACATGGCACATGGAATGCATTATGATGTTTTCAAGCTCCTGGCGCACGATGGCTTGAACAAGAGGAACAGTAACAGGATTGGGAGCGGTACTGCGCGAATAGAACGCCGAGGGTGCCACTGCTTCCAGTTCGCGACGAACAATGCCTGTAAGGTCTCCCGGCGGCGACGGACGTTGTGTTGCGGACTGGTCCTCGCAAGTCGATATTGCAGCGGTGTTTAGAAGTCGGGTGAGTGTTGGCATAGTGCGGTGACTTTTCACTTGCTCAAACTGACCACACTTTGATGATCGCGTCCACGGTGGAACAGCCCTTGCACATCAGCAGACTGAATGCGTCGTCGGCAATTCCTTTCAGGACATTCCCGACCTTTCACCTTCTTCCATGTCGCTTTCGGCTTTTCCGGAAGGGGCCAGCACGTCTTGAATGTATGCGAGGTATGATTCCGTGGGAGATTGGGCACAGCAGGCCAATTCCTTTTTGGCAGCGATCTGGCGACTCGCGGTTTTGCCAGACACCCCTCGCATCTTTTCTTTGAATTGGTCCCAGCTTGTGAGTTCGTCTTTGTTGTTTTCAAACCACACCTTGGCCATGCCTCTGAAGTAAAATAGTACATTAGCCAACTGAAGAGTGGGATCCCATCTGTTCGGCACACTTACTCGTTCGAACATGGATAACCCATCGTCAACGTCGATGCCATCGGTCCCGCAGAATGTACAGGGATCCTTAAGTGGCGTGAAAACGTATGGTTGCGACGCCGTGTTCGTGGAAGACACTGACGTTGGCGCGGAGGGCTCAGCATTGGCCATGGCTGGAAAACCGATGCGACGTCCGCTGCGGAGCTCCGTTGCCTGATGGTTAACCAGCACCTCCACCAATATGTTACGCGGTTGAAGACTTTTCTACAAAATGTGTTTACAGAGGAAAACCCACAGGCAAGAGTCACAATGGCTGATTGGCACCCTCGAGCACCTATTAGCTCCTTCAGTTCTTCCTCTTTCTTTACTTCATCTCCGTGATATAATATATATATATATATATATATATATATATATATATATTTGTGTGTGTGTGTGTGTGTGTGTGTGTGTGTGTGTGTGACGTAAGAAGTCAGGGATGGTTAGGAGAGGTAGATGAGGAAGAAGTGCTTTTGGAATAAAACATTGAGTATGAGCCAGGCCACGTCGCCCAGTCATTATAGCGTCACACGAGTCGACAGGATGAAGACCTGGCCACCGCTCATCAGCCTCACATCATTCACGAAGCCACCGACAGTACGCCTCATAGGAATATCGACCACAGAAGAGGTGATCACAGGCGCATGCAGTTACCGGCATCATGACAGAACCATCTACTGACCTTCCCATCCCCAAGTACACCGGAGCAGTGGACGATGGACCTGTACAGGACTGGTTCAACCTGTTCGAGCTCCACGCTACCGCTGCATCGTGGTCGGAACGGGAGATGGTTACGAACTTCAGCGACTACGTCACCGGTGAGGCATTTAAGTTTTACCTAACCCATATATTCGAGAACGACTAGTCATGGCAAAAAATCAAAGAGGAGATGATTAGCCGTTTTAACGACTATGACCAAGACCTACTCATTGCCAACTATCTAGAGACAACCGCACACTATTGTCAATTTCCTAAGCAGTCCTCAATCATTCGAAAGCCCAGCGCGAATCGACAACTGCCTCAAGACGAAGTGGCACATGAGTTTACTTACAGAAGGCCTTGCGTATATTGGGAAGAACCCAACCGCCAAGCGCGCCTCCCTTCTGCGCGAAAGTCGGCATTTCCGAAGTCATCGCTTCAGCATATGACACGAGACGTTGCTCAACCACCTGATGCCCTTCACTCTTCGTCTCGCATACGTGGTCCACCACCTGGGTTTTCGTCACGCGGTTCTTTAGGCGCTCCTAGCGCTCACCACTTGCCTTGTAAGGACGCCGTATTCATGGTAGATGACCTTGCACATCGGAAAAATACCCTGTCAAGCCATTCTTCTTCCCTACGGTTTCATGCATCACCGTCCGGGGCACACACTCTCGAGAGTCCAAACAAAACAGAAGGCTCAGACGCATCGAACATCCCACGCTACCGGGCGCAAGAACCACTCGCAGTGAACAGCGAAAAAGAAGCCCCTGAAGAGCTTCGTGTCATACCTACGGCACCGCAGACTTGCCAAAATCCGCAGTTCAAACCTAGTAATGCCATGTCACCTGTGGTGCCCACATGCAGAGCTCACCAATTCATGAATCGAACAAATTCTGAAGTGCATGATACCCCAAACTTCGTACACAGTTGTCTTTCGGAAGCACCCTTAATGAACCCCGTCACCGAAGCCTCTGAAGAGCATGCTAGCAATGATGACGCATTGCCAACTATGCCCGATAAGCAAGACACCAGTTCACCATTCATCAGCTGTCTACAGGACGCGTCAAACACCGAAGGAAATGAATGTCCCATTCCGGAACGGGTGCCACTACAGCCATTTGCTGAGCAGCCTCAGCAAAGCAAGCAAAGCCCAGTTCACAAACTCATGCTACAATGAGAGAGACTGCAACGAGGGCATCGACGAACGCAAAATTCGACGGAAGCGGATACTCAAATTGAAGAAGATTGCAAAATAAGATCTCTAATTCAAGACGACAGGCGCTTTCGCACAAAGAAAAGTCACCAGAGACACTCTCTGCATTTGCTATTACACCGACTGCACCACCACAGAAAACACCGAGAAAGAAGCGGAAGCCCTGCTTGCACACCGCTATCACTCAGGCACTTCGTCACAGTCTGTCAAAAAGCTCGAAAGCAAGAAGCACCGGAATCACACAAATCACGACGAAAAATACAACCCCGACGACATGAGAGCCGCCGATGCAACAATGCGTTCGAACCTTGCTTATTCCCAGAATAGTTCAAGCAATATTGTCAGTATTCATGTGTAGCGCACTCTCTCCGGAACGCAACAGTCAAGCTCGTCCACCAGAGTCGCCATAAAAATCACCGGACTGCTCCCTCGGCCTTGAAGATTTAGTGAGATTGTGGAACTCCATTGGGACGTGAAACTGTGAATTTGGCTATAATTTTGTTTATTCTGTTCTTCAATTTGTTGTAGTTTGTAACCGATACCATCTTTTGGGGGGAGGGGGAATCCTGTGACGTAAGAAGGAAGAAATGGTTAGGAGAGGTAGATGAGGAAGAAGCGCTTTTGAAATAAAACATGGGGTATGAGCCAGGCCACGTCGCCCAGTCATCTTAGCGCATAGCGTCATATATATATATATATATATATATATATATATATATATATATATATATATATATATATATATATATATATATATATATATATATATATATATATATATATAATTGGTACTAGCTGATCCTCTGTAGATTTAGAATGTGTATGTATGCTTTGTTGACGCCCTGATTCCACAGTGTGATATCTCTACTGATTCAAATGCCTTCTCGTAATCTATGAAGCCTATGTATAGTGGTTGGCTGTATTCGGATCACTTCTATATCACCTGTTTGATAGTATGAATGTGGTCGAGTGTGTAGCTGTCTGTATGAAATCCTCACTGATCCTTCCGTGTTTCTGATGTTGCTTTATCCTGGTAGAAATTACGTTTGTAAGTAGCTTGTACACGACGGAGAATAAGCTCTTGAGCCTGTAATTTTTCAAATCCTTGTTGTCCACTTTCTTATGAAATAAAGAAAGTATAGAGTCTGCTATTAGAATTAATTGTAGCGTAAATGTGAAAAAAGAAAAGTGGACGAAAAAATAACTTGCCGTGGGTAGGGACCGAACCTGTGGCCTTCAGTAACACGTCCGATACTCTAGTAACTGAGCTACAACGGCGGCTATCCCCCCGATCAATCCACAGGGTGTATACGTGCAACAAACGGAGCGCCAGACAGCGCTGCCAGTAGCTAAGACGGTGACTGCGGAACACGCTTTATCTGCGTGTTTAGGCGTCACGTAGCACGTGAACCGATCACGAGCTGGAAGCTGACTTTTAATACCTCGTATGCTATGTGAAGGCTCCAAGTCTGCCATAAAAAGACCCTCGTTGCGACCGAAGGAAAGATTCGTACATTCAGGCCTCGTTTATTTGTTAGACAAAATTATATTGAAATGTGATAGCCAATTATGCCAAGGCAAGTATGGGGCATTCATGAAACCAAAGCTGTGCATCCCAGTGCACCCACACACTTTATCAACTGAGAGAAAAGAAAAATACGACTGAATGAGTAAGCACATCAGTCAGCAGTTATCAAGAGACGTATTTATTTATTTCACTCCAATTATAAGATTCGTGATTACGACGAGAAGATGGTTGCGTTGTCTTCAATGACGTGCTTGCGAGATGCTGAAGAGCTGCTCTTTAGTTGCTTGGACGGCATTGCGTAAGGGCTGCACGAACGTCCGTCTTCACATCATCCTAAGCAGATAAAAACAAACTGATGAACCTGGCATAACGCAGCGAACACCTACTCTGCACGTATTCACATTCAAAGAAACTTCCATATGACACCACATCTGCTTTCTGCATTTCTGTTGAGCGGCTAAGGAAGTTTGGCAATGAGTGAGCTATGCGAGAGTTAGATCAACGGCATTCATGTTTAAACGTTCGGCAATCTATGGCATGGTGGAATTTTTTTTATATCGCCTCTTTCTCCAAATATTTCCATTAATTGTTTCGGAAGGCTCATTCAATTTACTAATAGGAAGAGGAAATAAAAAAGAACAGTATAAATAAAACAGAAAGGCGAGTGGCAATTACGTTGGAAGAATTAGTATCCACTTAGGTTATCTTCGAAACTTAATTTCACGACCTGTCAAAATAAAAATCCAATTATTCTGCCACTGAAAAACAACCCTCGTTTCCTCTGCTCGGGCTTTGCATTGCTTGTGACTGTCTGGCAGTTACAGGGTCTCCCACAAATTTTGTTTAGTTCATTCTTTCACTATATCTGAAAAGAAACATCGAAGCAGTATTGACTTACCGGTAGGAATGTGTTGGCGTGCTCTTGCTGCAAAATAATAATAATAATAATAATAAATAAACTATTAAACGTGTGACTAAAGTGCAATAGATACGTGCTTATCTTTTCATATTGCCTGGATATTTGTTCCCTTTTAGACTATTTTTTTATTTTATAAATTTCAATGCCTGCAGCAAAGTTTGACGAATAATTAAGACTAGAATCCTGCTAATGGGAACATCAAGATCTGTCTGGATCAACACCAACTATGTGACGTGTTTGGGTTAGTGCACTGAAAAACCAAAACAAACCAGTCCTAAAAATTTTAGACGAAAAATGCGGTGTTAATTCTTCGAACTATGCTGTTTGTACCATCATTTGCTTTAAAAATCTGCCAAGAAATGCTAAGAGAGTTTGAATGGGTTCTGCATCGAGGCTCTGTTTTTGGAACAAGAGACCGAAAGCCCTGAGTTCCGGTGTAAGTTGCCCGAGGGACAAGATAGAATTTAATTAGGCAGCCATCGACTAGAAATGTGCCGACGTCCGGACCTGCTATATCTGAAGCTGAAAGCAATCAGAATTTCCTTCATCATACGCACCATCTTCTAGTTTTGATTTATAAAATTTCTGAGGGAATAACTTTTTGTTAGATACATATATAGACAAATTTGTATTCAGCCGTACTGACTATGCTCTGTCGTTATAGTTGAGCGTCACCGGTGAGAACTTAAATGCAATATGTAAAACGCTTGCACCTCAGGCTTATCAACTGCAAGAGTTAAGTGGCAACTTTATGTATTGAGGCTTTCTTTTGAATAAACGAACAGTTACTGGCGCATTTGTATACATTTTCTGGTTCTTACAATTTCGATTGTCTCTAAACTCATCTTTACGGAAACAGTCTGAGAAAGTAGAAATGCTTCTCTGCTGTGTGATGTTGGTGATCAAGAAATCTCCTGCTTTTTTTTCCTCGATCGTTTGCCACTTTTACCACTCACATGTTCACTAGCGTAACCCTATCTGAGTCGAAGTCCATTATTTTTTGAAGGTGTGCCTGCGATGACGAATACTTATATATTCGTGAGAAGTGAATATTCTGAAGTTTGAAATTAGTATTCAAGATTTAAAGTGAAAGAACGGCAACCGACATGATCAACATGCATGCTTAACCTGAAAGAATGCACACCTCATATACCGTGGGGTAACTTCAAGCTATACCGCCGTGTACACTCATTTTATAAGTTGATGTCGCTGTGAGTAAACATACCGTGTTCAACACACTATTGCAAGTAAAACCTTGAAAAAGAAGTATTAGTAATTGTGGCCAGCCTAGGTGATCTATATACAGGTGAATGGATTCTCAACGTAGTTAAGGCATACTTACGTGGGTGTCACTGCTCAGTTCACAAATCTTCGTGAAGACGCAATCCAGGTCTTCGCAGTTAAGGCGCTGCTTCACTTCACTCAGCTTCTGGGAAGCCTGTAGAATAAATAAAAAGAGATGTCATTGGAAGACACACAACAGTTTTCAACTTGACTCATCCTTCGTTTTTTACAATTGACAACATCACCCTTAATGACAAATATTGCTTCCGTTTCATTTACCTTTCCTTTGGCTTTTCATGTTAACCCAAAGCGGCATTGAAACCGACAATCCTTTAAAGTTCTCGTTATCTGCTGTTTACAACACCGCATAGCACAAAGTTGACTAGTGAAGACGCATTGCAATCTCCTCGAATTCAGATGAAACAAAACATGATAGTCGATTATTTACAACTAAAAGCAAGTCTGTAAGTGACCTTGTGGGTTTGTAAAGTTAAAGAGGGTGGTGTCGTGGTAGATATGGTCACTACCTAATAAGTGCGACATTCACCCGCAGAACAGTGATTCACTCTCCTTCACCCATAACCCATTTTATGAACCTGTACAACGTTTTTGTTTTCTTTTTTTTTCCTCAAACGTTAGCGCAGTTTTTCTATGCCTCTTAAGAGTAGAGATACTGAAAAATAAGGGCTGCTTTTTTCCTAAGTAAATTATTTACTGTTTGAGTAGTCATGTCCTAGTCTCCAACGAAATCTGTGCAAGATTCAAGGGTTCTGGCTGGATGTGTGCAACCTATATAAGCAGACGTGTTTTGAGATCTTCGCGTTAAGATACCCAAAAGCAGTCGCAGTTTTTCGTCACTCTGCTGTCCGTAACTTCGATCAAAAAGGACTGTTTTATCTCGAAATTGCCTCTAGTTTGTGCCTTGTGTGGTGTGTCGTAGGTTTTTACGTGCCTTGGTTCACGTCTTCTGGGTGCCCTCCTCCCCTGCCCCTCATCTCTTGCGTAGTCTCTGTAACCTTGATCTTATTTTTTGCAAACGTTCTCTTGAGCTTAAAACTAAAGTTTCACTTTATAGTTTCCGCTTGTGTGTGTCTTTCGCGTATATATAATGTTTTAACAATGTTTTTTTTCTATTTGCTGCCCCACAACAAAAAAAAAAGTTTATGTGGTTTGTTCCCATTTTATAGGTGCGTTGGTTGCCGGAGAGGAGTACCAGTTGAGATAAAGTGAGAGTAACCTTACAATCGTCGCGTACTAATGACTAGTATTTTTTCTCGAAGTTCGTCGGGGAAGATTTCAAGCCACTCTGCTTACTTACCTGCTCGTTAAGATGAGTCTTCACACAGTTCACCAGTTCATGTCTTCGCTCAGATGGCGCCTCTGAAAGAAATGGACACATTGATTGCGACTCCTAAAACTTCGCAGCAATTTAAATGCGCTAATATTATTATGTGCAATGTACAGGCATGAGATTGTGACACAGACTGTACCACGACGGTTTACATTTTTTTTTATTTTAACATACGTGAAGATCTCGCAACTTTGTACAACATAACAATGTTCCTATTGTAACGTTTGCGTGGTATGGCTGTTTTCTTTTGTGTTGCTTTCAACTTGCAATAACGACATTGCGAAGAGACTAATCTTTAGTTTTTCGTCTTTCATCTTCACATTCTTTCAAAAATCTAATACAACAAGTATGAAGTTATCGAGCTGTATCCTGGCAAAGGTTTAAAGCGGCAATCTAAGTCACGTTTTGTCACATCGCTTTCTTGAGGCGCACGGAAGCTTTCATACGCCATAATTATTATAATTCGCCCCGTCGGTAGGAGAACACTGTCACTAATAGGAATCAAGCCCGGAACCGTTGGCACATGAATAGGACGCCATACTGAATGCGTCTTTGCCGAACGCTGCCATAAGCGTGTTTATCAAATTGTGCATTTTCCTAGGCACGCCAGACCACGTAGTCTAGCGTCTCTGCTTCCACAAACAGTGATTGCGACCGCCTCTGTTCGAGATGAACAAAATTCTGTAAATCTCGACGAGGCAATTATTTTGGCTCATTCGATAAGCTCACGCTTCACTTCGTGCCACCCTACGTAAATGCCTCAATTTTCGCTGTTACAAGCATTTATAATATCTTTCGTTTCCAATTTCGTTTTCATAAAAAAAAAACACGACAACCGTTGCTGGAATTTTCTTCGGCAACCTTGAGCGAAAGCAGTACAATGACGTTATCAATGGGTGTGTTGTGGAGGATCTGCGTCATTTTGTGGCATTGGGCCCTTTCATATATGAGATCGCTCTACAGCTCCTAATATACAGCTCCTCCTTTTCTTTGGTTACACCAAAAACTTTCGGTGTCTATCTACGCATTCATTCATCTATTTAGCCGCTTAGAGCAGAGCACTGTTGAGACCCCTTCTTTCACTTAATTTGGCATGAACGAATTTTAGTACGGGGGTGTGAGATGGTTTGACAAATATGACGTCCTGGTCAAGATATGAATAATGTTACAATGCCATCACGTACATCGTGAAACACTTTATGCCGGAACACACAAGGGCAACTTTGATGCGTGAGTGTTAAGAAAATGCTGACACCGGCAGCGTTAACCCGCCATTGCAAAGAATATACAGGGTGTCCTACAAAACTTGAGCCAAGAATTTCAAAATGAAAAACACTTCAGTGGCAAATTGAGCCAAACGCGTACCACATGCACTAACCTGTACGTACTCAGGCTATTTTTTATTTCTCCCCATAATAATCATTTTTCATTCATAATTGCCTAATTTTTAAATTATGGGCTGGAAACCCGAAATATGAACACTGAGATGTAGAGCACTTTTAGAAATCACCGACTAAATTATTTACTGTGCGATACGTCTAGCGCTATTATTTTTTCGGCGTTGTAAAGTAAGCGCTGTAGCAGTGCGCTCGCGGTCCGTCACACAGCTTCTTTGCACATTTCGCGGGCTTTCTTTACAACGTGGAAAAAAAAACAGCTTCAGACTTATCGTACAGGAAACAATTTAGTCGTTGGTTTCTGGAAGTGCTCTACATCTCAGTGTTCATATTTTGGGTTTCCAGCCCATTATAGAAACAGTAATTAAGAAATATTATTATTTTTTATGAACAGAAACAAAAAATAGCCTGACTGCCTACAGTCTAGCGCTAGTAATATGCGTTTGGTTCAATTCACCTCGTAAGTGCCTTTTACTTTGAAATTCTCGGCACGAGTTATGTGGGGCACCCTGTATATAAGCGTCCCAGCAGAAATTGATCCTAGAGTCCTTTGTGGCAGTCAGTTATTCCACCCCAGAGTCACACCAGGCCTCGAAACTACTTTAGAAATAGACCGTGAAATTTGTGAAACGTCAATTGTTCACTGCTGGCTATCCAGTTTTATGAACCTTGCATATTTACTCCTCTGATACAAGCGTCACGTCAGGTTAGCGTCAATTGTAGTTGGATGCCATCTGCTGAATTTGCTTTATGTCGCAGCGTCCGGGGCTACCATCCTCGCTAGCGCCAGCTCTTAATATGAGGTAATCTCTTCTGGTGTTGCTAATACTCATGTTCCTGATGGCATCATGTCGAAAGTGCAAACAGATGCTTAGATAAACATCTGCGGTTGTTCAACATACGTCTGTACGTGCAATATATGTATGTATATTTAGTGTCATTTCAAAACTTGTCGCACAATACAGAAAATTACAGCATGGTCACCTTCCCTCACATGCTTCGCGTAACTTCGCTTGTCAATCTTCGCGGAGTCTGACAAACGTTTTTTTCTCGCTGACTCACGCTATAAATAATAAGTACACGGCGTAGGCTTCTGAGATTGTGGTAATGAAAATATTCACTTACGGCAGAGGGAGAACTGGGTGCCGCTGGCCACACCTAGGATGGCGACAAGGGTGATTGCGAGAACAACCTTCATCTTAGCTGATTGCCGATGAGAACGTAGCTGTGCAACAGTTGGCAGTGTGGCAGACGATTTGTGCCTCACTGAACGTGCGTGCTCTTTTTAAAGGATTGCCGGCTTAGCCGTGGCAGTTACCGCGATACGATAGAGCGCAATATGCGTGCCAATGCTTTTTTACCGCTAGTGCCGATAACAACGCTTTCGCGCACCGCTCTAGAACTATCACGCTTGCGTAAAAAAAGGTAAATAAGACGTTTGTGGTACTCACAAGAACCGGCTTGGTCACTTATCTGCCTGTTTATTTCTTTCATTTTTTCTTTACAGTCGCCAGACACTGTCTAGTCAGCGTCTTAAGGAGATCAGGAGCAGTCACTAGATCAGCATGTAAGGCTCCCGAATCATGCAACTGCGAGAAAAAAATTGCTGCTGACTCTACCGTCTTTCCGAGGACTCTTCAATTAGACTTCTCAGAAATATTTCTTTGAAGTTACATGTTATGTTTCCGATATACTTGCATGGCAGCGAGCGAATACTGATATTGTGCTACGCTCTTCGGAGTTGAAAAATTGCGAAAATAAAAGAAAATGGAAGAAAACAAACGTGTTTGGGGCTGATAGGGAAGTTTTAGAGCTGCCGTTAAGGAGTCTCAAAACATGTATTGGCATTTAAACACAGGTATGCTAATCAGACGGTTGGCAGCAGTTCTTAAGTTTTGCCTCCACGAATCTGAGACAACAAAAAGCCACGCAGGATGTTTTCTTATTTATTTATTTACTTTATCACAAATAATTATTTCAATTAGTTAAGAAGGACGTCCCAGAGTTACAAGAGTGTCAAGAGGACCTCTTATTTGTGAGTTGCCATTATCAATAATCTGCATATAATGGCAAATAGCAGTCAATTGCTAATGAAGGAGTTAGAAATTGATAAACAGGGCATATAGGAAGCAAGAACAATAACAAAAACGACCAACCAGAAGTGTGTTATCATGAAAATATTTTACCAAATAATATTAAAAAACTCAGTTTAAAAGCCAAAACGCTAGAATCCACATACATTTTATAAATATAAGGCTTTATCAAACAACATGGTATATATTTGACACATCAATACATAACACAAGCTTCAAATTGTTCTTGAACGACATACATAGTGAAATTTACAGACAAACAAATAAAGAATGGACAAAAAGTCAGACAGAGTGATATCATAAAGAAAAAAATTCAGCAAAATGAATGAAATGGCTGACACACACACATACATATATATATATATATGTATATATATATATATATATATATATATATATATATATATATATATATATATATATATATATATATATATTTATATACATATATATATATATATATATTATGTGTGTGGTGTGTGTGTGTGTGTTGTGTGTGTATTGTGATACGACGTCAGGTACGACTAATTAACCGTTTTATTCTCCAACACACGCACGCGAGCGACAAGCAATATAGTAGTTCTAGCCGCTTATACAAAGAACGAAGACCACGCGTCTAGCGATGATGATGATTACAGTGGTTTTTGGGTATACATATGAAAATGAGGAAGCGAATAGTCAGCAGTCACACTGCCTCCCTCCCCCCCCCTTTCGCAAAAAAAGGCAGCAAGTTAGAAGGGGTGGGACAGTGAATGTATCGTTTCAGTCGAGATGCAGCGACCTTAGTGCTGCGGTGACAACGATCAGAAGCCGTGCTGACAGAAGTGACGTGATTGTTGACATGGGAAGTTTGTTCCAGCACTGTGTATCGACCGAGATACATGTGAGGGAGTTTTTCACAGAGCTCAGGTGCACGGACAGGTGTCCGCAGAAGGACTTCGTCACCGGAGGTGAAGCGTAACAACCTGTAATTTCACATCAATACCGATTTTCCTCTTCTCCTGCATTGTAGTGGTGTTGGCGTGGGCAATTTCACGGCAAGGGGCGACGCCAGCAGCGAATTCTTCTGGTAGAGACTAAGACGGTGTAGAGGACGTGGACAAAATGCTGGTGTCTAGGACGAAAGTTGGTGAGCGGCCATACACCGTGGTCTGTGATTCGTCGTACATTCTATAGCAGTATTGTATGTGAATGTAACGAAAGAAAGTATAGTGTCTCAGTTTTTGTGATCCTTGTTGAATATGCATGGAGATCATGCCAGACAAAGTTCGGTGAAAACGCTATGTCAGACCATTCGTTTGCGGATGGTAGGCTAATGTGGTCTTGTGGATGGTGTTAGATGCCTGGAGGACTTCAGCAACGCCTTGGGAAAAAATGTCTTGCCACGATCACTATCGAGCATACGTGGCGTGCCATGTCGCAATAGTATTGCACGCTGGTTCAAATCAGCAGCTTCCAATGTAGCACCAGAGGGAAGATCTGCTGTCTTCGCTTAGCGAGTAATGGGGTCAACGGCAGTAACAATCTCAATGTAACCGGCGGGAGTAACAGTGAGTGGTTCTTATAATTTGATTCCCACGAATTTGAAAGGTGTGGACGGACATGGCAGAAGGTCGCAACGGCCCGCTAGAAAAGATGTGTGTTGTCGGGGCCGGCATGACGCGTACGAGCCGACGTACTTGGCCACACAAGTTGAAAGGCCAGGCCAGAAATAGCGAGTCTTGATGCGGTCGGTAAGTAATTGTGAAGGTCTAAATGACCAGCTGTCACGTCATCCTGAAAAGCTTGTAAAACCTAGAGAAAAAGTGAGCGAGGGACGACTAGCAACCCATTGGCTACCGAGGGGATGGTAAATTTGCCGACATAATCTTCTGTCTTGAAGTTTGAAGCGTGCAAGCATGTCGTCTTAGGCAGCTGTTTGGAGCCTGGGATAAGCAAGTGAGCCGATCGATGACTGTGAGGCAGTATAGAGGTGCATGTTGAAGTGATGCGAAATATGTGCATGAAAGAAGGTCCACCAAGGCAACAAACTCTTTCAGACCAACAACCGCTTGCTTGGTCACTTGGCTGGTCAGTGATGAACAAATGGAAGGTAAAAGTTGGGCACTGGGCGAGAGTGGGCAACGCGACAAACAAAGTATCGGCATCTTGGTGTTGCCAACCTGACCAATATGTGACGCCTTAGTCATACTCTTGTAAACGTAGCACCCAATGGCCAAGGCGTCCCGACAAGAAGTGATAACCAACACAACCAACACAGGGCATAATGGTCTCTCAAGACTGTGAAATGCCGGCCGTATGTGTGGGGGCGAAACAATTGCACGGTTCACACGATGGCGAAGGAATTCTTGTTCAGCTTATGCCTTAATTTCACGCAGCAGGAGCAAGAGTACGACTAGCGTAGGCCACGACTTGTTCTTCTAAGGCATCGTTCCGCTGAAGCAGGACCACACAAATGCCGAGTCCACTGGTGTCAGTGTATCGAACAACAGGTGCTGCAGGTTCAAAATGGCGGAGCAGCTGGCCGTGATGTGAGGGATTGGTTGAGAGTGTGAAAAGTGGTGTCGCGGGTATCCGACCAGACAAAGGGTGCGCTCACGGTCAGAACTTTCTGTGGAGGAACGGTGACAGAGGCGAAATCACGCATAAAGCGGTGGAAGTACGACGCTAATCGAAGGAAGCTGCGAAGGTCTTTGGATGTCGTTGGTGTAGGAATTTGAAGTATCGCAGCAACCTTGTCGAGATCGGGCTCAATGCCGTGTTTACGGCATTGAGCCCAATTGAGCCGAGAAAGGCAGTAGGCACAAGGGAATGGCGATTCCACGATGAATGCAGCGCTGACATGGGATATCCCCTGTGTTACCGTTTACAATGTCTCATGATCCGATCGTAAGAACGCGCTCTTGGCCAAAAGGCAGGCGAAATTCCGCAGCTGTAACAAAGTAGGATGGCGAAAAATTGAACGAAGAAGAATGGTGAGTGTACGCAAGACGAATAAAATGTTCACCACACGAAATCACAACTGACACATGCAGCCGATAGGAAATCTCAGTTTAACATTATCTGATGAGCGCACCAAGGAATCACATCCATCTCTAGATGATGACGGGTTGCGTAGATGAGCACGTGAGCAGTACACTTTACGGTAGGGCAAATAAGATTGTCATTAGCACCGCATAACATGGGACCAACATAGAAAGTCTGCACTTTCCGTAAATAAAAACACATGTTCGCGGTGAATGACCTAAATAGCAGCGCCAGTGTATATAAGAGCATCAAAAGAACACTTTCAACACAAACAGGCAGCAGATTTGCTGGGCGAAATGGATTGTTGCGTTTCGACAGGGTACTTTCCTCTCATAAACGGCAGCCTTTAGTTTTTCGGGTGGCTGTCCGGAGAGGTTGGAGAAGGACGCCGAAATGGTGACGTACAACAATAGCGAGACAAGCGTGAAGAACGGGGCAAACCTAGTGAGTGTGGAGGTGAGGGAGAACGCTGGGAAGAGGCTGGATACGGCATGGGAACGAAGGCATCGGATCTTGGGCCAAAGTCTCGCTCATAGGCTGAACGTTCGCGTCGTTCATCCTGCTGACGGTGGCGGCCAAATCGGTTTATATGGCCCCGTATGCCACAGTAAAAGCATACGGGGCGCGGACGACGCCAGGTCGGATAGTGTGGTTGCACTGGCGCCTGTGCTGCCATCGAATCCATACGGGCGCATACAACGTCAGCAGGCACAGATGAAACTGGTGCAGGATGTTAAAGGTAGGAAGTAGATGATGGCACCCATCACTGCCACCAGTTGTCAACGGCTCGAAGGTCGATGGTAGCAGGTACGGCGGGTTCTCTTTAAGGTAGCTGGCACCTCGCCGTCTTCCGCGTAGCTGATCTTCGCCAGTGAGGAGACGCGTTCGTAACAAAGATAGAACGAAGGTTTATTTACATGATAGTTCAAAGGTAGGAACTGCAAAGGGATCCAGAAGATCCCGCATTATATACAATCAGTTCATGATTCAGCTCATGATGCAACTCCTATTTACAAAATGCTTCGGCTTTTACTAGCCCGCCATTTCCTTTCCACGGAGATTTGAAGATGGCGGTGAGAATTCTCGCCACAAATCAGGTGACGAAGTCACAATGGTTCAATGGGAGCACGAGTGCACCACACAATGACGCACCC